AGCCAACCTTGTACAATTCTCCCCATTTCTCTCTCTAGAGCCGGCCTCTCTCTCTCACTAAGGTATAAACTCAGATTTTTTAACTCAAAACAAATGAGTGTGAGTGCAAGTTGGCCTATTAATAGGCTCCTTTAATCAAATCACTTAAGATTAAGTAATGATGCTTTAATTAGCCATTCTGAATCTGATTATTTTGATCCGAATCAATTTTTAATTAAATTTCACCGTATGCTCTAAAAATTACGCTAATCACAATGGCGTAGTCAATTTCGATTTCTGTGGCCGATAGGGCCTTCAATTTAAATTTCAAAGCAGATAATCAAATAGATATTCCTACGGTGAACAGATACAAATTCAAAACTACATCTTTTCACATAAATGACACTCACAATCATATCAAACACATAATCACATTTATAATAAGGACCAATTAGCATAATACGGAACAGGGTTATCACAACTACTCTTTATTGTGACAATCAGAGTGCTATTCATATTGCATATAATGATGTCTTCCATGATCGCACCAAGTATATTGAGATTGATTGTCACTTCATATGGCAGCATGTTATTAATGGCACTGTTCGCCTTATCTTTGTTACCTCTGTCAATCAGACAACCGACATCTTCACCAAGGCTCATCCTCCAAGACGCTTTTCTGATTTACTTTCCAAGCTCAAGTTGATATTTGCATTGCCACTTTGAGCTTTAGGGGGGGTTTAGCTATATTGCCATATTGTACACCATACCATATTGTGTTTTACCAAGTTGCCATATTATGGATTACTTACTATATTGTACATCACCATATTAGCTTCTCATTCTCCCATATAAATGAGTCTTGTATTCACTCATTATTTATTCATTGAAATATACAAAGTTATATTCTCTCTCTCTCTCTCTCTCTCTCTCTCTATTCTCATAACAGAATCTTGCTAGTTTTGAAAGTTTTTCTGAAGTTGTAGAATATGAGAAAGATCATATTCGGCATGAGTAACTTCTTTTGAACTTGAAACATTAAGAGAGAAAGATCCATCAATATTCATATTTTTCATTTTACTAAGCAAAGTATTAGCAAATTCATCATTTTTAGAAAAGGAAGATAATTTAAAATTACAAAGAGCTACGAGAGATTTGAAATTAAAATGTTGAATGGAAGAAGATTGAGTAACATGCGGTTGTACACTTTTGTTACTAAGAATATGCTCAACAGATTCTTCAATACGGGTTAACTGAGAACCAATCGTTTGAAAATGAAGATTGATATAATTATTTTGTTTAATGATAGAATTAAGGTCTTTAACCTTGCAATATTGACCGAATTTGTCATCACTAACAGTAGGTCTGACATATGCGGAAATAGCAAGAGGTTCGGAATTGGTATTTTTATTTGATACTAATTCTACGGATTCAATAGGAGGGTAAAGGGATGAAAAGGTTTTTCCCTCAATAGTAGTAGAGGTTTTATAAAATGAATAATGACTTGGACACCCTTTTTTTCCCACCCCCTTAACCCCCTCTTCACTTGATTGGCTACTTTTTCTTTCTTTCTTTTTTTTTATTCCTTCTCCTCTAATCACTACCCGCCACGTGTCTGTGGGGTCGTGGGAGTGGTAATTGAAGGGAGTCTCAATCATCACCCTCAGTAAAAAGAATAATTTTTAGTTGAACTTCAAGATGGAAATAATACTGACGTTTATAAAATTGTTGCTGATTTCTGGTATATCTTTTGAAATACCATTCCCTAAATTGCTGATATTGGGGATGCTAAATACCATTCCCTAAATTGCTGATATTGCTGATATTTTACAAATTTCACATATATTATAGTGATTATATAATTCTAAATAAAGTATTTTCATTTATTTGAAATACCATTTCCTAAATTGCTGATATTGCTGATATTTTACGAATTTCACATATATTATAGTGATTATATAATTCTAAATAAAGTATTTTCATTTATTTGGTTTATTATGTTTTGAAATAAATTGAAATGTATTTGTATTTGTATTTTTTTTTTGTTGTAATATTATAGCATCAATGTTTTTTGTTTTGTTTTGTTTTATTTTATTTTTTTTTGTTATAATATTATAGCATTTATTCGTAACAGTAGTAGAAAAGTCAAAAACTAATAAATAAGGGTAATTCTGTTTTTTTTTTTTAAAAAAAAAAGGGTAATGTTACACCAAATGAAATTTATACATGCAAATTTTATATGAAATAGTGTGCCTCATTATATCTATTTATTAAGTTAAAATATTTATCATTATAGTTTATAATTATAAAATTGTCATTGTTATATGAATATATAGGATTGCAGTTGTACCTATAAATCTATTTGGAAGTCTTTAGGCCTTGTCCTGAGTCTATTTTAATAATTCGGGCCATTTATATTATAGTTGAGTAGATCATTTATAAATAAATAAAAAATTAGATTAATTAGATAACAAGATCAAATTTATTTTTAATAAAATAAACACTTAGCATGATTTTAATAGTTTTTTTAAAAGAAAAATTAAGATATAATCATGGAATTATGAATGTCCAATTAACTTAAAATTTTTTATGAACAATATGTTCGATAAACTCTACAATAAGGGTTTGAATTACAAAATTGGCTTAGAACAAACCCTCACAGCCTCATTATTTTGTTCTTAAATTTTATATAAAATATTACCTTTTTAATAAATAAAGATACTATCATCCACCATCTGAAAAAAAAAAAAAAATAAAATAAAATAAAATAAAAATGTCATCCAAAAAAGAAATTTTTGAATGAAGTGGCAGTGGTTTGATGGCGAGTGTGGACCTCCAACGGCACTGTCACCAGCCTTATAATCAATTGGGTTAGACTTGGTCCTTCTTTCTCAACTATTCTCTATTTTATTTTTTTATTTTTTCTCTTAAAAATTAAATTTAAACTCAAATATCACACTTAATAATAAAATATTTCATCCATCAAACCAAAATCTTGAATATTATGAGATTTAACTCTCCTTAATTACATGTGAGTCTTTAATATTTTTCTTGTGTTTGTTGGGTTTGTTTTATGTTTGTAACTATTGATTTTGTATTTGTTTGGGATTTTTATTATATTTGTCGAGTTTGTTGTATATTTATAATTTATTAAAATTTCTTTTATCATAATTAAATGTTTAATTTGATATAATTCTTAAAATAATTGTAAATTAAGAGAGAGAGAGTGAGAGAATGATATACATGCATTGGTGATGGATTGTACAACAAACAATTTAAGAGTTGGTTTGGAAAAGTTCCGTTTGGTAGAACTGTGAGAAAGTAATTATAACTTATAGCCTAACAGCTTATAGCTTATAGCTGTGAACATAAGCTGATTTTTTACTTATAAATTAAGCTTTTCCTTCCCCACTCAAAAAATAAGTTGATTTTTGACTTACAAAAAATTATAAGCTGTGTTGTTAAGCTGAACTAAACACATCAAAATAGCTTAATGAAGCTAAAAGCTGAAATAAGCTGAAAATAAGCCCTACCAAACAGGGCTAAAGTGGGTTGACTTTTTGACTTTTTAATTTTTTTTGATTATTTTAGCCTGGGGCTAAAAAGTCTCGTTTGAGATAGATTTTTTGATTTTTTTTGATTTTTTGTGAGAGAAATAATATAATGACTATGGGTTATCTTATTAGGCTAAAAAGCCGATTTTGTCTTTTTGTAATTAAAATAGCCCCAAACTCAACCCAACCCAACCCAAGTTGCCAAACGAAGGCTAAGTGGGAAAATTGAGGGCCTTTATTATATGGGATTGGCTTCCCTCCTGTCTGTGATCGGACTGGAGAGTGTTGTCGGGTCCATGAAGGTCCACCACGGGTCTCATTTCAATAATTCGAACCGTTCAATATGTAAAACTTGTCGACTACTATATGTTTGTAAAAAATTACGTTGATCAGATATCGATAGCTATTTCATCGGATCAGATTTCTATCAATTGTTTATTTTTTCACCTTCTATTTTTTTATATACAAAATTAATTTGATCATATAACTATCGATGTCCGATCAACAGTTCGGATTATCGAAATGAGACTCGTGATAAGTCTTTATGAGTCTAATAACACCCTCCAATCTAATCACAAACTGAAGGAAAGTCAAACCCTTATTATATTTGTAAATGAATAACATAATTCCAATATGTATGCAAGTACAAAGGGAAAAAAAATCATAAAAATGATTGAAATTGTTAAGAGAGAGGGAAGAATTCTCGAAGGCTATATTTGAAATTTAGATTTGTAAAATGAAAAAAAAAAAAAGGAAGAAAGAAAAAAGTAGAGGGGATTTGTAAATAATAATAATAATAATAATAAACTCCTATTTTAATGACAAATCACTTTTCTCTTCTTCTTCCTGTTCTTCTCCATAAATCCGTAAATCAATTCACATATCTAAGAACTCCTAATTTTATGCAATGACACCGGTTGGAGATGATTATTTATCTGACAAATTTAATTCTTAGGAGATTATATGTCCCATAAATAAATGAGTAATACTACAAACTCAAAAAAAATACCTAAAAATTACTTGGAAACATCAATGTGTGATTCAAATTCATTCTATACATAAACCTCACAATATACATTTTCAATCTCCGCCACACACCTTATTCTTAACCCAAATCTAAAATGGAAAGTTCAGGTTCCAAGACTTTGTAAATAAAATAAATAACCATATCCTCTCATTATATGGTTTTTTCATCCTATAAGGTTTATTTTTTTATTTTTTGCAGTCAATTTTTTCAACAAAAGATTTCACCAATAACTAAAATTTTTCCAAAATTTCTATTTAAAACACCAATTATAAAACTAAAAAAAAAAATCAAATTAATTTGAAAATTATTAAAAATATATAAATTTAAATTTAAGACAATGTGTCCTATATATGACGGAGACATTTTAACAAAAAATTATTTTTTTTAATAAAAAATAAAATAAAATTTTCTCGTTCCGTTAAAAATTTATTTCAACACGAACAACAGCAAAAAAAATTGAGAGAGAGAATAATCTAGAGTGAGGAGAGAGAGAGAGAGAGCCATATATGGGTTTCTGTTATTTCAGGTTGTGATTGTTTGGCGTTTGGATTTGGTAGGTGAGAAAAATGGCGACATCAGTCGACGATGCCCAAACCCTTGCCGGCGACGAACTCTTCTCCTTTGAACTCCCTGCTCCTCCTGGCTGGAACAAAAAGGTTTCTCTCTCTCTCTCTCTCTCTCTTCAACTCTCTCTCTCTCTCTATATATATATATATATCTATCTATATCTATATATTTGTATATATACTCTTTCACTTTCATTTCTTTGAAGTTATGTTGTTTTTGTGCTTTGAATTTTGTGTATTTGGGTCAAAATTGGGTTTCTTTGGGGGTGAATTTTGTGGAATTGTGTGGTTCTGTTGTTGAATTTGATTCACTGGTGATGGTTTTGAAGCTAGGGTTCGTTGGCAGAGTGTTATTATGAATTTGTGCAACTTGTTTGAGGTTTCTCTGTTTTGAATTTTCTCGGGCTGCCTAGGCTTGCCGTTTGCTTCTTTATCATACTTAGAAAAAAAAAAATTAAAAAAAAATAGAATTTGAACCATGCTGGTTTTCTTTTTAGGGTTTTCTGAAAGGGTTCAACAAATTAGGATTCACTCTCTTTCTCTCTCTGTATCTCTGCTGTAATTCTCAATTTTTCTTATTCTGTTTTCGGGTTGTTAAGGGAACGAAGAACTAACTGCTGTAATTGGCCCTAGGAATGGAACTGCAATTATCTGGTGTTTCTATGCCCCTTTTTGTTTGATATTGAAGGGATTACTGTTTGGAAAGTAGGATTTAGTTGGAAAGATGTAGAATGACTATCCCTTATACGAGAATGGAAAGATGTAGAATGACTATCTCTTTTATGAAGTGATTTTGGAAATGTGGGTTGCTGATTGATATATCATGGACTAATAATCAATGGGTACCTTCATGGTTCAATCTTATTGTGGAGTGACCTATCATTATTACACTGTCCAAATGCCTTTAAGGAAGTTCAGCATTATCCTAAGGCTACCATTCCTAACTTTAGCAAGGATTATAATAAGCCTCTAGCCATCAAAAGCGTGGTCTATGGATTTTGCATTCCTAAGGTAATTGGGCTTCATCAAAGGTGTGAGCTGATTTTTTTTATGAGTTGTTTGAAAGATGAATAAAGCACAGTTAATAGAGTGGCTATAGGAAGAATGTGCAAATGGAAGTTTTTGTAAGTGTCCATGTTGACCACAAAAACTAGATACCCACATCTCCAAGTGATGGTGGCAATTAGCTATAAAAGGCACTAAGAATAGTGGCATCAAATGAGGACCTTTGAAATTTATGTACTAGCTGGTGCAGAACATTTGACGAAGACATAAAGGCAGTGCTTGGTAGAGTTTTCTAAAATTAATTTTTCCCTTACATTCTAATGCTATGTTTGGTTTAAGTTTTCAAATCATGATTCCAAATCAATTTCAAAATACATTTTGAAAATATGTTTGGTAAAACAGTCAATTTTTGAATTTTTGGCTTGTCCGGTCGTCCGCCCGAACATCCCCCAGATGTCTGGCTGGTTGATTGGAACAGTACTATTTTTTTTTGCAATTACCAATCACCACCTGTTATTTGGAAAAATATATATATATATATACATATTATATTTGTTTTTGATATTTTTTAAATATATAAATTATTTTTTTAGACTAAAATGACAAATTATTTTTTTGAATTGAATTTTAAAAAGAGTTTAGTTATTAGTTTTGAATAGAATTTTCAATAGAGTTTTGAGTTGTATTTTTAGTTATGAGTTATAAGTTTTTCAATTAAGTTTTGAAAACTCTTTTCAAAACTCATAACCAAACTACTTTTCTCATTTCATATGTCATATCAAAAATTCAAAACTCTCTCCAAAACTCATAACCAAACAAATTTTCTCATTTCAAATCATAATTCTAAAACTCACAAACTCAAAATACAGTTCTATTCACAAATTATAATTCTAAAACTCTACCAAACACTACCAAATTTTTTCTTATGCGGACAAATTCACAGTAGGCTTTGGGACATTTTATTAGCTTGTCAATGTTTCCCTCAAAAGAAAGATCATTTATCTCCAACCGGAAGATACACCAACTCTCTGATCAAACAAGAAGAAAATATGCTCGGTTTCCCACTTGAATTGGCTTATATGGCCTAGGAGATTTCAGGGGTTAGTCATTTAAATTTTACTATTTGCCTACAGTTATCTAACTTTTGTATCAATGCTCTAACATGACTAGAGAAAATTGAGTCTTTTAACACAAATTCCTTATGGAAAAATCATAGACATTGGCAGGAAAATATGCAATTTGCTTATAATCTTTTGAAGAGACTCATTGCTACAAATTTCAAAATGAGTTTGATGATTGACCGACAAACTGTTTTACCATATTAGCTAGGGGCGCAACTCAGGCGGAGGTTGTCCAAGTCCAGCCCAAGTTGTGTTGAGACGTGCCCAGGCCTGCATCGTAACCTGAGGTTGCCTGCCCAAGCCTGACCCGAATAAAACCCGAATTGCCCTAGTTGTAAATGAATTAATTTTTTTTTTCTAGTTACATTATTAAATTATTAAAATTTGACTCTATTTACAATATTTATTTTATAGAAAATCATTAATACCATCAAAACAAATAATTTATATAATGTAAGAGAGATGCTGCTATAGTAGTCTTTATAATTTATGAGTAAAAATAAAAAATAAAAAAAGATTTTATATCATTTGTATATATAATAATATATATTCAATATAATTTAATAATCTAAATTACTTTAATATCATGTAATGGATAATAATTTATACGTATATTTAATATTTTTTATATATCTATAGATGTATAATTCGGGCTTTGGGTTGTTCGGGTTGTTTGACGTTTTTACCCAAGTCTGTCCAAATTTAATTCGGGCTTCTAAATTTTTGCTCAAGCCCGTACCGAATTTAAAAATATCTTGTCCAAGTTCTAAATAAATTCGGACTGGGTTCGGGTTTCTCGGGTTGAGCCCACCCAAGTTGCACCCCTAATATTAGCTGCTATGATTCATGTGATAAATTGTGGCTCCTTTGCAAAGATTAGGGGTTTCGAGCATGAAGAAACAACTTGGTCATTAGTGTTTAACAAAATACTAATGGGAGAGATGGATTTGTTCCAAGACATGAAAGGATAAATTTGAAATGAACATATCTGTGAGAATTGGAAGTTGCACTATTAAAAAGATAAAAGGAGAGAAATCCAGATTGATATGTTTATTCATGTGCAATGAGGACCAATAACTACACCAAGTAGGAAGAGTGATGTGGTCCACAACAAGGTTGTTGCTACGGTGAGTGAAGAGCTAGAAAGACACACAGGAGCATCATGTTTAATTGAAATTGTGGCGAGGATGGAGTGAAAGATACACACAGTAGCTTACCTAAAATAACTGGGAATTTAGTTGAGAATCAGGGCTAACTTGAATCGCATCTGCACGATCAAGTTATGCCCAAAAATATATCACATAGGTGTATAACATGATCTAGTATTTTGCTGCTATGGTGCTGCCTTTCATATGGTGTAGTTTGTTTACAAGTTCTGCAAATTTGCATAATTTATGCTCTATCTGTAGGCTTCAGATTCTGTACTATTTTGTAATCATTTAAATGAAGTAGGAGATCAAAATCCTAATTTGCTAGTTCGCTTGTGTTTCATTTGTCCTAAAGTCATCTGGGTTTGGCATTTATCACTTTTGAGGTGAACACAATTTTGATTGAAAGTTTAAGGTATTGGTTGTGTTAAAGAATAATGGAAAATTCCTTACAAGTGAGGAGAAAGACGCTCCAAATGAGCTGAAATTTTATGAAGTTTATAAATACGTTTCTTTATGCTAATACACTTCAGCTAGACAGCCCTTGAAAACTGTCTCCAGAAGTATGAGGATTTGTGAAAGATCAAGGGTGCTGATTTTGTTAAAGAATAATGGAAAATTCTTCGCACTTGAGGCGAACGAAGCTCCAAATGAGCTGAAATTTTATGAAGTTTAGAAATGGGTTTCTTTTTACTAATACACTTCAATTAGACGTTACTTGGAAACTGCCTCCAGAAGTATGAGGATTTGTGAAAGATCAAGGGTGCTGTTACTAGTGAAAGAAGTTCATTTACAAGTTGCCCGTTGAAATTTCATAGGTAAGATGAGTTCTTAATCGTCATTGGAATCTGCTTTCATTCAGTTAACGAAGAATGAAATATTGCACAAAGACTAGGAAAAAGTGGCTTAGAATGAGTTGAATAAAGATTTTACTATGCTCTGAAAATTGCACCTTTCTGCTCATTTTCTCTCAAGGAATCATCACTTGTAAATAGTTTCCAGAAGTTAGATGATTTGTAAAAGGCTTGGGATGCTTTTGCTGAATAAAGGCCTTTCCATTCAAGTTGTGTTGTCTTAAAAGTTGAAACATGAGTTAATTTATATGAAGATAGTTCATTCTCAGAATTCCCCTAATCATCAAAACCTGGTTTTTGAAATTGTGATCATAAAACATTCAGAATTATTGTCTGTTTGTATTTATGGTCCTTTTTTGTGGTGGGTTAGTGTGTGTGCAGGTGTATTTGTTTCAACCTGTGTGTGACGTGACTAGTTGTTGTGTTAGTATGGTAGTTGGTGGTTGAGCTATTTTTGTTTAGGTGGTTAGCTGCTCCATAACTAGTTTTTTATTGCATTACTCAAAGCTTTGCTCTTGTATCCTTAATTGGGAATTTTCTCTCTAAAATTCCTACTATTCTTGATGTTCGATTCTATTAGTCTATTCTGGAGACTTCATTGCCCTGCTCTTCTTTTTTGCTTGTTTATTACTTGGTGAAAATAGTTTCTTATCCCTGTATTTGTGTGTGCGTTTTATAATCAGTGTGACATGTATGGATGTTGGACTATTAGTATTTTGTTGCATATAATATTTTATAAATAAATATTATATACGTATTTATTTGATTACTAAATTGAGTTAGTGGTAAGAGTCTTGGGTAGTGTGGGTTATGTATAATATCATGTGTGACTAAGTTGTGTGTGCATGGACACATTCTTTATAGTGTTTTTTTTCTACATTTGGGGTTGGTGAGTTGCATCTGATTTATGGATTCATTGTTTGAATTACCAAGTCCTTAACTGAACTCAACTAGGCTTAATAATGTTCACTTGAGATCAGTTACATGGATTTATCTTCTCCACTCAGCTCTATGTGAAGCCATACCCATGTTTTAGTCAATCCTCTCTCTCTCTCTCTCTCACACACACACACACACAGACACACGCACACACACGCACAGCCCTCATTGTATATAGCCTTCCTTTTGTTCTTTTGGTACCTTGAACAAGTTACTGTTTCATATTGATTTACAGTAAGGCTTGCCTGGGGGTAGGGCTGCGTACAGCCATCCCCAGTCTCCACTTTAGTGGAGCCTCTTGCATTGAGTTGACCTTTTTTTACCAAGGCCTTACAGCGATGCGCGGATGTGTTGATTGTTGACTCTTGTATTGAACTAGCTATGAATAATAATTCTGTTTTGGTTCTGTATATTACAGATTTCTGATTGTGAGACATATGAGTTAATGATGCCATGACCCCCTCTCTAAAATCTAAGCACCCTGTATTAATACAAATGTGTGGAGGAAGTATGAAGTGATGTGGCCCGTTTTCTGTAATCTATTGCTTAAAATAAGCTCTCTGTAGGTACTTAATTTTTTTATGAATATCTCTGCTGAAAATATATATTGGTGTATTCATGTGGATGCATCTTAGTGACATATGTCAGTTAGGCCTCCTAAGCACCCTCGTCAAGGCTAAAGCTTTATGTCTCAGGCTTCCCAAGAAGTTGGTGGGGCTGAAGGTTTACAAGGGAAATGAGTGAAAAACACATGAATTGAGGTAATATCTAAGTACAAAGTTACATGGACATATCCCATATTAAAGAAACTTTCATAGCATGATGCTATAGCTGACAGTGAATTGTTTCATAATGCTATGCCTGCTGTCTATATGATTATGAAATATTAATATATTTGTTTATTTGGAACATAGATTACTGTGGTACACAGAGGAAACATAGTTTGATGTCTTCGTTGAGGTTATATTTGGAGTAGTCTTGTATCTTTCCTATTGCAAGTTTGTTTTGTGAAGCTTTGGTTAATCTTTTAAGCTGGTTTGGTCCTTCAAAGTGCTTCCAGATATCAAGAGCTTTGTTGGGATAGTTGCTTGCTAGAACAGAGGAGACCTTTGCAATCACCATATGGCCTCTCTTCTTATTTAGTTTGGCAGAGTTTGTCTACTTCAGAAATGATTAGATTAGTTGGTTAGTTCTTTCTGAGATTTATTTTTTAAGATTTCTACTTCCATTCCATGTCATGTGGAAGAGGGAAGATTATAAGGTATTTTGATACTTTGGTTTTGATTTTGGTCATCTTGTTCTTCAAAAGTAAGGCTATGGTATCAGTCTGGATGATAGTCTAATAGGGGCGATTCTCTTAGGCTTCTGTCACTTGAAAAGAGTTTGACGGCTTTTAACCGTACAAAATTTTGGAGCAGATATGGTGAGGGTTTGTAATATACAATGAGATCTTGTGGATGCAAGAATGTGAATCATTGTCAGTTGAATATGTCAGAAGAACACGCCCATCGGACTGGTACAGCAATGATATGTGATCAAATACATGCTCTGATGTGTATCAAAACTTGTGGAAAGGTTGCCTAGTCTTACTCCTAAAGAACACTTGTATAGTTGATAGTTGGAGCCGTAATGAACATGAATGTGCATGTTATACATCAAAGAATGGCCTGATGTGATATGTAGGCGTTTGCTTAAGAGTTTCTTGTTAGGGTTTTGCTTTGTGTTTTCTCCTTTTCTTTTGTAAGAGGATGCCTTATCCTCGCATGCTTTTTTGATTTATCAATAAAGTCCTTTGTTGTTGATCCAAAAAAAGAAAAGAATGGCCTTATGTAATCTGCAGTGTAGAAGTGAATTTAGGCCAAGTCTAAGGTACATATTAAGAGGGCATGTTCCATATGCAAGTTATGCCCTACTGTGGTGTTGGTTTTGACTTAAAGTGGTGGTGGGATTCACAAATTGTCAAATCAAAGTGGGCCAACCTTGGTTACAATCCAAAGTGGTGTTTGGTTATGATTCAAGTGGTGTTTGGTTATGAAATTGGTGTTGGTTATACCCCAAAGTGCTTTTGGTTATTCCAAAGTGTCATAGGGTTATGTCTCAAAGTAGTAGGCGCATATGGTATGCATACAGAAAGGGATGAGTATTGTAATAGGACCCATGAATTTATGTTGTTTCAGTTGACCCATGAATCTAATTAGGGAAGTTTATGGAAGCCTCTGACAGTTACCCTTACAAGTGTGTAGACTCTAGTCATTCTGTTTTGATTTGAGATAGAAAGTTGGAGTTTAACAATGATCTACTTATTTCCTATGCTCTCATAAATATGATGTGTTTGTTTTCTGAAGTTTAATTCCACTTCTAACTTTTCACTCTTAACTTGCCCATTCTCATTCATTTCCCGACCCTATACTTCATTACCATTTAGCCTGCTTTTTGAATTTTTGTCCTTTTTCTCCTGAGAAAAGATTTGTGTAAAACAAAGCTGTCTTCGTCTGCAGTTCATGCCCAAGAAAGCAGGCACCCCTAAGAAGAATGAGATCATATTCACTGCCCCAACAGGTGAGGAGATCATCAACAGAAAACAGTTGGAACAATACCTGAAATCACATCCTGGAAATCCAGCAATATCTGAGTTTGATTGGGGAACCGGTGAAACCCCAAGGAGGTCAGCCAGGATCAGTGAGAAAGCAAAGGCAGCTCCAACACTGGAAAGTGATACTCCGACGAAGAAGCGTAGTCGGAAATCTTCAGCTTCAAAGAAGGATGACAAAGAAAAAGAAGTCGCCCCTGAAGAAACAGAGGCTGTGAAAGGAGATAAAACTGAAGAAATCAAGAAGCATGTTGTGAAAGAAAATCAAGATGAGCAAAAAGACGAAACCTGTGATACGGAAGGCAAAGCCGAAGATGCTCCTGAAGAAGCTAAGCTTGGACAAGACGTTAAAATGCCCGATGCTGACGAGAGCAAGGACAGAGAAGCTGAACCAGGAAATTCAAAAGCGGTTGAGATTGGGAAAGTGGCTGACAGTTCTGAAGTAACTGGAAATGATAAAGGGAAAGCCGAGGAACCAGAAGTTCAAGAAAAGGTGGAGCAAATACCAGTTGAGGAAAAACCAGATACACGCATTGCTGAGGAAAAGACATGCCAAATGGAAGGCGAAGTGAAAGAGGGACAGAAAAATGAGGAACAAAACAAGTCGATGGACAATGAGATAAGCAAGAAAGTCGAGGGCACAGTGATCGAGAATGGTGACCATGGCAACAAGGCTGGTGAGTCCAAGCCTTGAGTGACAATACAAATTAACTTGGTGCTGGTTCACTCACTTCTCTTTCTGACTTTTGTAGGTTTCTGGGTTACTTCAGATGACTGTAGTACTATTGTTGTTGTTTATGATAGAATTCTGATTGTTCAAATTAAGACATATATATATGTATGTATGTATGTACGTAAAATCATAGATGAGGTCTTCTATGTAAGCAGCTTTTGTAACATTATTACTATCTTAAGGCATAGATTAGAGCTTCAATGCTTGCTTTCTTAGTTGCATTGAAGGAACTTGTAGCTCGTAACAATCTATGCAACATGTGAGTGTTAAAACTGTTGTTGTAATAAGTGCTTATGCATTAAGTTACTGATGTTATGAGCTCGAATTCATTGTTTGGATGATGCTTTAGTTTTGACCAGGTTCAGATGGGACTATGACTAATAGATGAGCTGGTTTTTGTGCCATAAATATAGTATTCCTTTGCATTACTTATCTCTGTTGGGAGCCTCTCTTTGCAAATCCTTGGCTATCTTTGGTTTAACTTTCTAAAATTAATTCTACCTTTACATTCTAATGTTATATTTGGTTTAAGTTTTCAAATCAATTTCAAAACACATTTTGAAAATATGTTTGGTAAACTAAACAGTTTTTGAATTTTTGGTTGACCGGAACAGTACTTCTTTATTTTTTGCAATTGTCAATCGCCACTTGTTATTTGGAAGAAAAAAAATTATATTTGGTTTTGATATTTTTTAAATATATAATTTATTTTTTAAGACCAAAATGACATTATTTTTTTGAATTGAATTTTAAAAAGTTTTTGGTTATGAGTTTTGAATAGAATTTTCAATAGAGTTTTGAGTTATGTGTTTGGTTATGAGTTTTAAGTTTTTCAATTAAGTTTTGAAAATTCTTTTCAAAACTCATAACCAAAGAAATTTTCTCATGTCATGTCACATTAAAAATTAAAAATTCTTTTCAAAACTCATAACTAAATAAATTCTCTTTTCAAATTATAATTTCAAAACTCACAAATTCAAAATACAACTCTATTCTTAAATTATAATTTTAAAATTCTACCCAACGCTATCCTTATTTTTCTAAGTGGTTTTTTTTTTTATTGAATTTTAACTTTTTCTTAAAAAATTTCAAAAAAACTTTATACTTTCGATTGTTTTGGCTTATTTTTGGTTGTGTTGACTCATTTTTGTCTTTAGTGAATTTTTGTAGATTTTTCTATTTTTGAACTTTTGTAGACTCTTCTAACCCAAGAGAGGTTTGAAAAGCAAATTTTTTGACACAATTTTAACAAATTACTAAAGATAAAAAGCAAATAAAATGTAACTTTTTTTTGGCTGTTTGCACATCTTACACTCAATATAAATTTAGAAGGAAAAAAAAAAATCAATTCACACTATTAATTTTCAAGTAACACCACAATATCTTAATGTTTTTCAATTTACAAAACCCCTAACCCTAGTATTGATATTGAAAATCATATGATTCAATAATTGAAAATACAAATGCGATGAAATAATCTAATTATAATTATTGAAATAATCTAATTTTTTATGCATAATTGACATGCAAAAATTTATGAAATGAGCAGTTCAAATCATGAAAATAGAACCTATGAGAGGAATTAATTGGATCAATTAATAACGATCATCAGAGTTTGTAATGAAAAAATGATCATGTGCACGCATCCATTTGAAATGGGCAATATGGAAAATTGAACAAAAATGTCCACCCGTACCTTATATTACCTCACACATACATTCAAATATGAGAAAATTATAAATTAGTGGGACAGTTATAAAGGAATTATACTTAAGCTTCATTTGGTTTTTGATTTTTGGCTAAAAATATATAAAAAGACAAAATTAGCTATATAAATCAATATGACTAAATGTCACATCTAAATCATAATCATTATATTTTTTCTCTCATAAAAGTCAAAAAAACCAAAAAAGCCAAACCAAATGAGACTAAAAAAGTTAGGTTAAAAATGTCCCAATACAAAAAAGTCAATGCAAAACGAATACTTTAGATAAAATCTTTTTTGTCTGACACATAAGAAAGACTTATAGCAAATACAAGAATAGACTTGCACCATAGAAATAAAATAAAAAAAAACTTGCACCGTCATAAAAATAAAATTAAAATTATTTCCCCACTATTCAACTGGAAGAACAATTTTCTCTTCTAATATTTGTATTCAACAATTGAGGGAAGTGAAGATAGATTCCCCTAAATTGCATAAACATTAATGAAATAGTCCTATAAATTTTATCTCGAATTTTACCCATAATCAACATTTTATTATTCAGATTCATTTCATAGTTAAACTCACACCTCACAAATTTAATTTGCACTACACATTTTATTTTTTATCACCTTTATATATATATATATATATATTATTATATTTGAGGGATAGGTATTCTATTGGTCTCCTTATTCAATTTTCAAGATAGTTTTTAGTATCAATGTATTATTTGCAGAGTTATTCTGCCTATTTAAATGTCACTTTTCTTCCTAAATTTGATAAAATATTATTTACTTTGGCTAAATAAATATAAAATAAGTGATAAAAATAGAAGACAATTAAAAATTCGTTGACTATTGATATATTTTGATGCATTGCAACTTGCAAATTAGAATATAAAAAATATATATATAAATATAATTGGAATTAGATATACATAGGGTGTGTTTGGTAACGTTTACGTTTTCAGTTTATATTTACAAAAATTTTATAAACTGATTTTTGTTTATTTTTTGTTTATTTGTAGAAAAACATAAACTACAAACGTGTTTGGTAATTGACAAAATGTTTTAAAAAATTTAAAAATATAAGAAAGAGTGAAAAATGACAAGTGGTGGCAAGTGGCGGCGAAAGACGGTGGTGGAAAGTGGTGACGGTAGGTGGCGGGTAGCTGGTGGTGGGGGTGGAAAATGGTGACGGTGGGTGGTGGTGGGTGGTGGTGGTGGTAGTGGGTTGGGTGGGTGATGGTGGCGGGTAGTAGCGAGTGGGTAATGGTGTGGATGGTGGTGAGTGGTGGTTGCGGGTAGGTGGCGGGTGGGTGATGGTGGTGGTGGTGGTGGTAGTGGGTGGCCGGTGGTGGTGGCGAGTGGGTGGGTGACAGGTGGCTGGTGGTGGCAGGTGATGGATGGTGGTGGTAGGTGGGTGGTGAGTAGTGGTGGCAAGTAGGTGGCGGGTGGTGGATGGTAGTGGCGGGTGGTAGGTGGTGGCGGGTGGATGGCATGTGGGTGGTGGGTGGTGGTGGTGGTGGTGGTGGCGGCGAGAGGTGGGTGGTGGTGGGGAGTGGGTGGCAGGTGGGTGGTGGGAGGTGGGTGGTGGTGGCGGAAGACGATGGTGGAAAATGGTGGCGGGTGGTGGCTAGTGTTGGGTCGTAAAAAAAAAAAACTGAAAACTCAAAATGGAAATACATTTTTTGTGTTTTCATTTTTTGGCCAAATTTATAAACTGAGACCACTGATTTATAAACCAAAAATTTTACCAAACAAATTTTTATTTGAATTTTTAAAATTTTTATAATATAAATAAAAAATTAAAGACGTAAGTGTTATCAAACGGCACCATAATATTTGACCACCCACCTTAAAATACTGGCTCGATTCCTGACCACTCAAAACTTCAGTCAAAAAAATTCTAATGAATAAGTCTAGGTGCATAGGATTAATCTTGCATAAACATTCTCAGTAGATTTGTTTTGAGAAATAAATTAAAAATTAATTTTTTAACTCATTTTAAAAAAACGTATAAAAAAATAAAGTGACGATATGATTTTAAAAAATAAAAAAACAAAAAAAAAAATCACTTTTAATCGAGTTGCTATCCAAGATTTCAAGCCCAGCTGTACCACTCAAAGGTTGAAGGGTCCCTTTCACTTTCACCACACACCAACAAACGAGAGAGGCAAATTTTCTATCGGAAAAATATTTAAGATTCTAATAAAAATTATTTCACAATTCAACTCACAATAATTTAATTTGATAAATATTTATTTTTTATTGATTATACACTTAATAATATGAAATTCATCACCTTTACCATATCATTGTAAATACATTTTGTTGGACCATTTTAATATCTTATATTTATTTACTAATTTATCTTTTTCATAAATGGGATTTCATTACTTTGGTAACCTCTTGGTCATAAATAGAGGTTAAATAGAATTCATGAACTTGGTTAATGGTCATTGTTTTGGTGTAACCATTTTCTCTTATTTAATAGTCATTATTTTTTGGTGTAACTGTAAGGTCCTAGTGGCCTATAAATAGTCCCTCTCATCTACTCTTTTCTACACCACTAACGCATCAACTATTTTCTATACAAGAGAGATTACTAGCAAAGAAGGATGTTTTATTAGTGGAGCTTTGGGTTCACCATCTTGTGCAGTGTTGGCCTGAACCATACGACAAGTGGTCGGGCTGTTGTATCTTGGAGGAGACAAGTCATAGTTTTGTGACTGCTGCATCGGTATTGGGATTCTTTCTACCGCAGTGGGCTTGATCTCTTTACAGAAAACGAGATATCCGTGCCTCAACCTGATCTATTTGTATCTCATTTTCTTTGTATCATTTATCAATAAAATATAATTTTTTCTGGTATTTTTACCAACAATTTTAAGGAGATCAAACATGGAACAAGTACCAAAAAAAATCAATGATGGAATTGGAGATCTCAACAAACCTTTCAAATTCAAAGGAGTTCATTTTAAAAGGTGGAAATGAAAAGTTCTTTTTTACCTTAACCTTTTGAAAGTTGCATATGTTCTTACCGAAAAGAATCCAAACAAAATCCCAACCGAGGAGATGAATGATGAAGACTACGAGGCACATGAAGCAAAAGTGGCTTCCTATAATACAGATGAGTATAAATGTCGATTTTATCTCTTAAATTGCCTTGTTGATCAATTTTATGATTACTATGACACCACTTACACTTCCGCAGAGAAAATTTGGAAAGCTTTACAGACTAAGTATGATACTGAAGAGGCAGGAGCAAAAAAGTATGCAGCTAGTCGTTTTTTTCGCTTTCAAATTATAGATGGAAAATCCGTCGTGATGCAAGCACAAGATTTCCACTTGATAGTTGCAGAAATAAGATCTGAAGGCATCAAGATTGGTGACAACTTGGTAGTTGTAAGACTTGTTGACAAGCCACCGTCATCCTGGAGAGAATTCCAAAAGAACATGTGCCATAAACAAAAGGAGACTTCCTTAGAGGCGTTGATCGCTCGCATCCAAGTAGAAGAGAAGGCTAGAGGCCAAGATGCATTAATAACACAAGCGGGTAATGGCAATTCTACCACAAAGGTAAACTTTGTTTCAGCAAACAATAACTTACCTAAAGGTCACAATTCCA